TTAACTCTCCCCATTAGATTGTTGGGAGTGGATGATCCTTGTTTAAGATAAAATCTGGTAATGTTAGTTTTAATTAAAACAGGACCAGTGGCATAACTGCTGTCATGGCAACGGCACGACAGGTGCAAAACGTGTCATACAAAACATGAATATCTCTAAAACGAAAAAAGATATTCCAAAAAGGAAAACGCCATTCTTCTTTACTTTGAAAAGCATTTCAAATCAGCAGCAATTATTTTTCACTTCATAGGCACTTCAAGTGGTATCTTTTAGGGGTCTAATGAAGCTCAAGCAACTCCCATATTAGTCTCCTTTAGGAGCTAAATTCAAATTTTCCGACGAGTATCCCTGACATTTTCATATGGGAGTTCCCCTCCAGGGTTTCAAATGTCTAACAGGAAGTGAAGAAGTGAAGGAGTGAAGGAGTGACGTGGTGCAGGAGTGAAATCACTTCACCACTACAACTTGGAAAATAATATTTCCCAAGTTAAAAAGGAATGGAGACTAACCTCCAGTTTCAACTGAGTATAATTCTATTCCAATATATTTAACAGTTATTTTACAACTCCTACCACACTAACAATATCAATCCTGTGGAGTCACTTCAACAGTACCTTGCAGTTTATCTCTGACATAACTAGCTGCTGATCCTGTGTAGCGTGTTAACAATCTATAAGCTTGATCCATTACTTCACCAGCACAAGGAAGTAAGAGGAATAAATGGTTCTGAAGAACTTTTGTGGCAGTATCATTCTACAAATAGGAAAAAGAGAACATGGATTGCCACATCTGCATTTTTGTACATGAATTTAAAATTGATAAATCTGACTATGATCCGACCTCAAATTTTTGTTCTACATGTATACCCAGGGCTCCAAAAAAAAAATTTAATTCCAGCTTGCCCTTAGGACAATTATCTCTTGCCCTGGGCAAGACTTAGTTTGCTCTTGTAATGATTATTTTAGTTGGCAGACAACTTGCCTGATCCCTTACCTATCAGGCAAGTGAGAATGAAAAGGTACTTGCCCAGAGGGAGAATCTACTTGTACCAGACAACCAGATGGCACTTTTTTCGAGCCCTTATGCATGTACCTCCTTTGCAATAGTAAAATCAGGGTGACAGGTTTATATGACTCCTGACATTCATGGCCACTCCACATTTCCCATTGTCTTTTACTTTCAGACTTCCAAGCTTCAGAGCTCAGCAATTTAATTTCCTGAGCTTGTTAAATCAGCTATGACTGATACCAGCTGCAGATCTAAATTCACTTTCCAGAAACAGAATAACTCAATGGCAGTTGTCAATATTTTTCACCGTACACTTTGCTTACAATCTAGAGGAACATGCAGGAGTATTGATGACAGAAAGTCTCAGTTCTTTGGAATTGAGTTCAATTGCAATTTCTGTAGGACAGCTATTTTGGTTCACTTGTTATTGCCTAATGTACCAGCAGTCACAATTGTTTCAGTCTTACTTACCACTGAGTCTGGACTATGACAATGTGCTAGCAAATGCTTCAGAAATGACAGCAACAACTGCCGAAGGTAAGAATGATTGTCCTCTTGGCCTGCTTTGCTACCATTTGTGGGTATAACATTGTCACAGACCTCACTCTCAATATGAGCGAAATCTTTTTCCTACAAGACACATTTGTAAATAGAACTTTTCAGTTGTTCTTTAAAGTAAAAAATCACCAGAAAGTTCATATTACAGACACAACATGACAGTCTCACTAGTAGAAAATATCAGAAGTGTTTCTGGTCTCTCTCAAAATTCAAAAAAACTACTTAGAAAAAACTAAGGTATCAGTGTTTCTTAAACAACCATCCCACCCTGGCAACAGCATGAGTTAAAGATAATTATCAAAAAAAACATTCTCTTCTTTGATTGTATAGTGTGTTATGCTTACTATGCCACATGCTAGATAAAAATATAATTTGTGAGCCAGTAGGGATACACTTAAACAACTTGAACTAAACACTGCTGCTTGAGTTAAACATTGCATCTCAGTTGCATCATATGTCAAATGCAAGTCCCAAGATCACTTCAAATCAGCACAATGCTGATTTTAGAGGCACACGGGTGCCACAGGTGACTACCGGTAACTAATTTTCCCTTTGGGTGACTGGAAAAACTTACTTTCTTCATAATAAGCTTAAGTGCTGGGCATCCAGGATTTCATAGTTAGGAACCTTTGGGCTCCTTGTAATTTTTCTTAGACCACAGCCTTGGGAGCCACATACAAATTGACTTTTCAATTCTTGTATGTTGCATGCAAAGGTCAATCCACTGATACTGTTCACACTCGAAATACTATGCATGGTCCTGACCATGTGAAATCTTGCAAATGGTTCTTTTTGAGATATAGTGATAGATGTACCTTATAGGTATAGGTAACAACACTGCATGCAAACATGGTCAAGAATTTCAAGAAATTACCAAATTGTAGTCAGTCATATCTAGTACTTACAATAAAACGTCATATTAAAGGGGAACTCAAGGCTAATTTTACTATTTTTTGTATTGATGTTAACATAGGATGGATCAATTTGACAGCGATAATTTATATCGATGATGAATGATTTCATGAAAAAATCGATCCAAAGCTTCGGATTGCATACGCCATGTTCCCTTTTCATCGCGGGAGCTTAAACGGCCAGCGGATTAAGATGTGACGTCAGATCATGATGCCACATTGCTTCGCTTTTGTTTTGCATGAGGAGTTTAGCGAGCTGAACTGAGTATATTGAGCTAGTTTAGTTTCAGCCGCTTCGAAATGTCTGATGACGAAACCTCTTCGCATT